CCTTTTTGTCCAAATATATTTTTTACGACAACTGTCTTGTCCACGGTGTCTTTTATTCGTTCCACTGGGGTTTAGCAAATGTGTTGATAAAGAGACGAAAATCTCTACTGTTACTAGTGTTCGTGTCTCAACATGGCTACGCTCGTGAAAGCAAAACAACGAACTCAAACGCGTCTTCGTTCAATGTTGTCAACTAATATCTGGATTAATTTTAGGCAAATTTTCTTCAATTCTCCGGAGAGATTTTCATAAAAATGTGAAAAACCCGGAATTCCGGGAAAATCCGGAGGACTTTCATCTCTGCTTTATGAATCTTAACTGTCATAAAAGATGTACAAATTAGTATTACTGTAAAAACACAAAAAGGGCATCTAACAAATGACAGTGGCATCATGGAAAAGTGACTGCACATTCAAAATTGTTCAGGATCAGAAAATGGATGGATGGATGGATGGATGGATGGATGGATATTATGACCTCAAGGGCATATAAAAGTCCGAGATGGCGCCCGAGTAGGCAGCCATCTGCAAGTGCTCTCATGAGCCTTGCTTTTTTTGTTGTTTTTCTGTTTGTTTTGTCACTTTGTGTTTGTTGTTACGTCGTGTGGACCTGATGTGGACTTTTTTCAGCATTTTTTGGCCACGACATTCATCAAGGAGGAGACTCTGTGCTTGGTGGTTGCGCCTTCTCGACTGCATGGGTATACCAGCACTGTTTTTGACTGGTAGGAATGTCGGCGCCAGTTGCTGGACAGTCCCGGGGCGCTTGTGTCTTGTGCCTGTAATGAACTTAGCTTGTAGCAGACGTGCACATTTTCAGCATGACGTCTCTGATCCACTGGTAAAAGGACACTTTGATCCTCTCCTCTTTCATCTATAACTGCTTCAGACAACAAAGTGTATGCAGGAAAGTGGTGAAGATTGCACGACTGTCTGTGTCCTATGTGTTGTGTTGTGTTATTTTTGTTATTTTGACTTCAAGATGGCGCCGCGTGAGTGGCTGCCTTTCCAGCAGCTCCTATATTTTGTTGTTCTACTTCTTCCATTCATAACTTTGCTGCTGTGAATTGGGAATTTCTCCATTGCGAGACTAATAAAGGTTTTCTTATCTTATCTTATTTACTCCAGAGGTCTCACTGTATGTATGGTTAGGACCCAAAGAAACTTACCCCCCAGTCTTTCAATGAATTTTGCTTCTGCATAGTGGCATCAGTCTTTTGTCCTGATAGCGAGAGCAGAGCAGCTTGCAGCTGGAGTAAGAAGTAGAGCAAAAATAAAATCAGAGTATTGACATAAATCCATTAAATGACATCAAGCCCAACCTGTTTATCAAGCTCCTTGATTCTATTGCTGTTTTGTTTGGATTTAGACCTCTCTCGCTCTACTTCAGATGTCAACTCTCGGTTCTTCTTGGACAACGCCACGATCTTGACGGCGGCCACATCGCCTGCTATGCCCGTCGCACCTAAAATATCACATTTTGTTTTCAATTCAGATACAACATAATTAATTCAGAACAAACATACCTGCCAATGCCAGCACTCGCTCATCATCCAGTTTCTTCTTCATGAGTTTGATTTCAATGTCCTTTTCAGTGAGCAGTTTTATCAGACAGTCGTTTTCATCCCTCATCTCTCTCAGTTGGTTCAACCAGCTCTCCTGCTGCTGTCTAAGTGAAACACAATCATTGACAATGAAAAATGACCAGACTGAAATCACCACTGTTGTTGTTTTTTTTCTCAGCATTGTTGTGGATACTGTGACTGTGAATACGTAAATAAATATTTGTGTGCCTTGGCTCATCAATAAATGTTGGTATTTGTGACATTTAGAAAGAAAATCTTCATCATCCATCCATTTTCTGATCTGCGTATCCTCACAAGGGTCACAGGGCATGCTGTAGCCTATACCAGCTGTCTTCAGGCAGTAGGTGGGGGAGACCCTGAACCGGTTGCCAGCCAATCCCAGGGTACACATTGATGAACAACCATCTGCACTCACATTCACACCTAGGGACAATTTCCACACAGGAAGGCCGGAGCCGGAATCGAATCCTGCACCTCTGCATCATGTGGCCGACGCGCTAACCAGTCGACCACCTGGCCGCCACATCAATACAGTATAAGTTAATAATTGTGTTGAAAATGTGTCAAATTTAAGTTAAAGTTCTCGTGGGTTTCCGGTGTGAAATTTGCATGTTCTCACATGCGGTTTAATTGATCCCGAGGGCAGCTGGATGGATTCCGGCATGCCCGCGAACCTTCTGAGGGTAGAGCGGCTTGGATACTGTAATGGATGGATGGATGGATCCTGCAGATAATTCTAATTATTATTGTCATTGTGAGAAAAAGTGAAATATATCGATAGCTTGATCATTCACTTATTGCATTTGTAAATAGTTTACTGTAAAACTCAAAAGTTGTTCTAAAGAGTATAGTTTTTATCTCCTGCATAACATTAACTCTAAAAACTTTCCGTAGCGAGCAAATTAGCTGTTTTAACGCGACCACCGAAGGATGAGATAAATGTAATTTTATTTACGTTTGGAAAAATATAAATATAAATAAAGTAATATTAAAAACTCACTTTTCGTTCTCCCAGTAGGAAGTATGATTTTGCATTGTGTCGCGCGGGAAAGTCTCCCAAACCGCTTTCCGTTTTAGTTACTTATAAATGATTTTTTTTCCGGGGGGAAAAAAAAGCCCAGTTGGATAGAGCAAGTGTTCATGACCACTCCTAGTTCGCTTCAGTTGTGCGAAAAGGCATTACCGCTTACTCGCAGGAATATCAGCCTTTGTTGCGCAAAAGCATTAGTGTCACTGTCAGGAATGTTGCCCTTTGTTGCGTATTGGCGAAGGCCGGATGCCCTTTCTTGCGTAATTAGCATTAGCAACACCGTGTGGTTACGTCATATATTTGATCTAAACAAGTCCCTCCAGTCAAGTATTTTCAAGGAGCTTGAACGCCACAACCTTGCGCAAGAAACGAGCATTTCGCTCAGCTGTGTGCGTGTGTTATTACACATCCACTTACCAGCCAGCCGTCGCATGTGCGCGTGTGGGTCAGCCATATTGGAGCGGTACAAATAGTCAGAGAGATGAATAAACACACCACTAAAAACAGTTTCGCGTTCAACTGGCTAGAGTCAAGGTGAGGATAAATGTACATTATCCACTTGATTTGAACATGCTACGAATGTGTACTGAAGCAAGGTGCATATTTTGCATTACAAAAATCGCAGGTTACACTACCAAACAAAAATGTCATAAAAAATATTGTTCATATTAATGTTGTATGAATGGCAATGGAAGGGCACTTAATTGTTCTGCCTGTCATACTGCGTCGCTAGCATAGATAGATGAACAAAGACATTAATATATTTGAGCCATAGAAAGTGAAATTGGATGACTTCCCACACCACACTCATGTGGCATGGCAAAGTGGTTGGGAACCACTGCTCACTGTTTTATTTTGAATGTGCATTCTAAACTACCAAAACACATACAGTACAGTATTGTCAGTAGTCTGTATTGTTCAAGTAATTACAATTTTTTTTTAATCAAACAGCTTCTTGACACATGATAAAGCATTGTTTACATTATTGTTTGAAATTATTCATATTAACATATAGAAATGCAGTCCGACCTTAGCATCTCATTTTATGTAGTTTTGATTATTTTTGAAAAGTTTACAATCTAGTATAGCAATGGGATTCTTTTGAAATCACTTTTTTTCCTCTAATCACTATTTTGACAGATCATTCAATTTGATTTGTCAGCAGTTGTTACTGACTGGAAAGCTGCTGAATTTTATCCTCTAATTCTTTAATGGTGTCTTCTTTGTCAGCGACCACTTGGTACAAGTTCTGGATGAGCATCTTCTGCGTGGAGAGCTCGCTGCTGAGTGACGGTCCCGAGCTGGATTGGCTCGGTGCATTCTGCCTGGTGAGCTGGCTCAGCAGCTCCAGCAAGCGACTCTTCTCCTTCTGCCATGGAAAGATCGAGACAACTAACATGTCAGCTGAACTCAACATGTTTATTTTCTTCTTACCAATATAGCGTCCACAAGCTCGTCGTCGTGTTTGCTCTTCAGCAGCATGGAGGAAACCTGAGTTTTCAGGGTTTTTATGTCAGCAGACAGACATTTGTTTCTTGCTTTGGAGGCTTCCAGCTCTTTCCTCACCTGATCCCGGTCTCGCTGCAAGGATTCATAGCTGTCCGAGAGCCTCTGGAGAAGGATGGACATGTCAGTATATTTCAATTAAAATGTAATCATGACTTACCCACCTGAAAGGCCTCCCTCTTTTCCTTTTCAGCGCTGCGGCTGTAGCCGGTGTAACGGCCTCGGCTTTTAGGAAGAATGCCTGATAGTTGTTCTTCGTCCATGTTCAACATGCTCAATGGAGGTGACCTCAGCTGCTGCTCCAGGTCCCGCACCTGTCACACACACATGCTTTACTTTGTGGAAGCCAGTAGTTTATTTGTGTAGAGGTCTCAAAAATTTAAGAACTATTACCAAGCAAGCAAAATTTGTTCTATAGAAAACTGCGTTCATGACATTACTTTGGTTTATTTGTGAATATACTGGACAAGAAAAAAAACACAAAGCCAATATATAATTCTTGACAAGAGAAAACATAAACATATAAATTCTATATGTATTTATGTGTGTGCCTTTTGGCATAAATTTGTTGATCTGTTTTATTGTATAAATATGTATGTCATTTATAGATTTTATTTATGTTTATTTGCATACATTTATTCATTTGTATTTTGCATGGTGCGGGGGCAATAGCTTTAGCAGGGAAGCCCAGACTTGCCTCTCCCCAGTTACTTCTTCCAGCTCTTTTCGGGGGATCCCGAGGCATTTCCCGGCCAGCTGGGAGACAGAGTCTCTCCAGCATGTCCGGTCAAGGGAAACCAAGGTCCATATATTTTACTCATCATAGCAGGTTTTAATTTGTCCAAGTCTTGATTCCAGTTAAATGACCATGCATTACCATGCAAAGTTTCCAATTTTGACATTGTAATTCATGTGAATTTTATTCAACAGGGCAAAATGATTTTTGTTTAAACATTTTAAACTCATCAAAGAAGTCTGTGAACCAAAATGCTATGGGGGGCTATAGCACTAGCTGATTCATTAACAAAACAAAGATTTGTTGTTTCAATGTGTTTTCGAGTTAACTCTCACATACTGTATAATGTGAAACCATATTTCCTTCTTACCCTTGACTGAAGAGCCAGTATCTGCTGTGCACGTCCTCTAAAGCTTCCCGCACAACTCAGGAGCTGCGGAACGTTGACGTCTTCCCCAACCTCATTTATCAGAACCTGCAACAGATGACATGAACAACAAATTAGGTTGTGTGCAAAATGCATTTGGTAATCACGAAAGATGGAGATGCTTCGCACCTTGTGAGCCATTTTTAGCTCCTGCTTGAGAAACTGAACTTGGTTGCGATGCTCTGTGACTTTGAGCTGGGCAGCAGATAATTTATCCTTCAGGGACTTCACCACTGGGTTGTCCTGTTTTGCGGACAAACAATCCGTTATTCTCATTAGGGTGACATGATTAACTTTCATAAAATTACACGAATGTGCAGCAGAAGCTCTAAGATGGAACACAACAACATATTTTCCTTTGGAAAATAATGGAAAATTAAAATCCGCTCGAACTGATTCATGATGTGCAGGCAATGTTTTAAATAACATTTTGACATTCTTGAATGTTGCTCTGTATTTAACATCATTTGAGTGAACTAAACCTCAGTGTCTAGAGGTGAGCTTTGCTTCTGCCAACTGGCGTCAGTCTCTTGTCCTGGAGCTGAGCACACAGCAGCCTGTAGCTGTAACAAAAAAAAAAATGGAAATTAATGACCATTCAGATGCTGTGACGACATGAAACCAAACAGAAGACTCACATCCTTCTCAAGCGCTTTGATTCTATTGCTGTTTTGTTTGCATTTTGTCCTCTCTCGTTCCACTTCAGCAGTCAGCTCTCGGTTCTTTTTGGACAACTCCACAATCTTGACGGCAGCTGCATCGCCTGACATGCCGGACACACCTAAAAGGCCACAAGTGCCCAACCCTCATCGTGATCAATATGTAAAAGCCAAAATTATAAGGATGCACTGACTGCAATGATTGAGGCTAATCTGTACTATTAAGCAGGCTCCAATACTATGACAGCGATACTACTTTACCACCCTGGAGATAATTAATAATAATAGAGATAATATTGAAGCTAAACACCGATGACAATACTTTGTTGACCAACAGCAAATTATGTTCCCTTAGGAAGTGGATGAAGTTCCAACGAAGGGCTATCCGGCAGGTACCAATGTTCTCAAGCCCTGTCGCCCGTTCGGCTCCACTCGGCTCTTGTCGAGCCAGCCACACTCCCGTCATGAAGCCGTGGTAAAGAGTAGTAAAGGATAAGGTATGAAGTGTCACTTCAGTTGTCCTGTCACAGTTTGATTTTATAATTGAGGGTATTTTCAAGAAGCAGCTTTGTGGTTTTTTTAGTCACTTTTATTTTGTAGTTAACACAGAGTTAACATGGCATCCATATTCCTACTTGTTTATAGTCGCCGGATTCTACGGTCTTCCTTTCATCTATGTACTCCTTGAACAGTGTCCTTCAGCGTTCAGACTGAGACACCACAACACTGAAATCATATGCTATGCTATTGTTAATTTATTATATTTATTTTACAAATATATTGCTAATGCTATATTTTATATTGCACTTATATTGAACTGTGTACCGTTCTTTTCTGAAACATTTATTTTGTGCAATCGCTCCATGTACAGCACTTTGTGTGCAGCGATGGCTGTTTGAAAGTGCTCTATAAATACAGTTGAGTTGAGTGGAGAAACACTTTTTTTTGGTCTATAGGAATCAATGAGCACTCAAATGTAAGTATTCGTCCAGAAAAAAAATGAGGTAAATCGGTGGATCCTTATAACATTTTATTATACACTTACCAGCCATGAGAAAGACCTTCTCTTTTTCCCATTTCTTCTTCATGTGTTTGTACTCAAATTCTTTTTCACTCAGCAATTTGAAGAGGCGACCATTGACATCCGTCAGCTCCCTCAGCTGGTCCAACAAACGCTGACGCTCGTCCCGTTCAAGTCTTCAGGAAGTTGAGAAACAAAAAGCGAATGAATGCAAGGTGTACATTATCTTATCCTTTTCCTTGCCGTTCTTTGCAAGCGCTTTGTGTTTTCTCGTTACATTATTTTCCTGGTTCTTGTTTTGACCAGCGTTTTCTGTTGTCCTTTAAGACGGTATTTTTTCGTTTGTAATAAATATTATTTTTTGAGACGAAGGCCTTGTCAGTGTCTGCTGCTTCGGGGATCCACTTAACGTTGTTCGCTCTGTTTGCATACGAAGCAGTCCTTGTTTCCTGCCTTGTATGCAACGTGACAGACTGTTATCCTTTTAGACTTTCTCACCTGTCTAGAATGGTGTCTGCTGAAACATTTTGGTTCAGTAAGACCATATGCTCATTGAGAAACGTATCCTTGGCTTTCATCTTGTCCACTTGCTGTTTTACATTTTCCTGAGGCTCAAGATTGTTCACTCCATTGTTATAGTCCATCTGTGATGCTTCTGTTATAAGGACACACAATACGGTAACGAAATCACACAAAGGTGTGTGTGTGTGTGGGGGGGGGGGGATACATTATCTTTGCTATTTGCTGTAAACATATGTTGTGAACACTTGAATTAAATATTGCGTGCAGGCTTTTCCTTATTTGAGAGAAAGTGAAAGTCTCTGTTGTGTTGTTTACGATAAACCCTCTTCAACTTAAGGCTCCCATATTGTCATATTGGCATATCCATATCTTTTTTTTTTTATGTATGGGAACAAGCCTGAGTATGCGGAGAAAACCATTGAGCAAGGCCAAAGCTGAGATCTGAATCCAAAACTCCACCACGTTTTAAATAAATGTGAAATTCTGGGTTCTAGAGTTGAATTTAAGCAACACCAGAATGGTCTTACCAGCCTCAATATTAAGTACACCAAAGTAATATATTGAATTTCAATACATGAGATGCACAAAATTATTATTCTTTGTAAATTACCATAATGTACAGTGATGTGCAACCTGTACCAAAATATTCTCAACAACTTTTATGATGCGCTTAAGTTCTACACCAAACTACAAACAAAAAAAAACGTTTCTAAACGTATTGTTAAATAGCAACCTGTACCAAAATATTCTCAACAACTTTTATGGTTCTACACCAAACTACAACCAAAAAAAAACGTTTCTAAACGTATTGTTAAATGCCTCTAAAACAGTGTCACGTATTATTAGACTGTACAATTTCAAGTATTCGGTTAGTTGTCACGTGATGTATTTCATAAACAACAGTGGCCATTATTAACACTGCGTGCAGGATAATGTTAGATCCCAAAAGCAACGTTTATACATAAAGTGGATTTATACAACTGGAGTATACAATCCACTTACCTTCCATTAGATGAAATACCGTCTTCCTTTACGACAACTGTCTTTTGCATGGCTTTGTCGAAAAGAAGATTCCCCAAAGGATCGCCAGGACCGCGACTTCAGCATCCATGGCAACGACGCTGACTGACGAGATCTCGCGAGAACGAACAGCTGAACCACGCATTAGCCAACGCGTGTTGCTAAGACCGACTTAGCAAACTTCTATGTCATATTGTACTTTTTTCCAAACTTTTATGTAATTTCCTTTTTTGAAACCCAGTCCACTTGCTATGTGGGTGTAAAGGTGTAGGTCGCTAGTCATCCAAATGGCAGCTCCGGCAGTTATTTATGACGTCATTTCCTCAATCACAGGCCGCACCCTGAGTCATGAATTTTTTAAATCTCATGTTTTCCCGTCAATCAAAAGCTACAGTGCCATAAAACACTGGCGTCTGTACAACTTGTTGACAAAATGAAATCACAGCGAATAGGATTCAAATATATTCCAGAGTCCATAATGACATACTGATCATTTATTTTTCAGTGGCATGCAAGACATCCTGATTTATATAGTGCTTTCACAACCCCTGCAGCTGTAACAAAGCACTTTAAAAAACAGTTAACAGAAAGTAAAATAATAAAGACAACACATAACATAAAAACACGGACAGTCGTGCAATCTTAACCACTTTTCCCTCATACGCTTTGTTGTTTGAAGCACATTGGAAATAGCTGTCACATAAGGCATTTCGGTGCAATATAGCACAACATGCTATATACTATGACTGTACTTACAGTGTACATTATGCTTACCGCTTCATTTGCCTCTCATGAAGCATCACTTGCAATGTAAATGGACCTGAGTCAATATAAATCACGATGCTGACCTTGCCCTGACAATCAAACTTCTACTGAACCCAATGAATGAATGTATTCTAACCTTTATGAATACATCTCATTGAGGGTCCTCCAAGATTTTTTTTCTCTCGCAGAACCATCCATCCATCCATCCATCTTTCGAACTGCCTATCCTCACGATGGTCACGGGCATGCTGGAGCCTATCCCAGCTGTCTTCGGGCAGGAGGCGGGGTACACCCTGAATTGGTTGCCAGCCAATTGCAGGACACACATAGACAACAACAACCAACCACATCGAAAGATTTAGAAATATATTTTCGACAATATCAAATAAAATGCGGGAAGGTTTGAACTTGAGCTACATAGATTTCTGTCTGGGCTATAAAGCCCTGGTGCCATTATGTTATCTGTTTGTCAATGCATCAGTTGCATTTGTCTTTTACTGGTTATAAAGATCCAAGGGCTGCCAAAAGTGGACCAAGGTGTGAGCAAGGTAAGTTTTTTATGATTTGGCAAAATATAAAAATATCAATCCATACATCAATACATTAATGACTATGTATCGAAAAGACAAAACAAAACAAAAAAAAATTCCCCAATATAGTCCTGGCCTATTTACATCACATAAATATATTTTAACCAATTCAATGTCACTCCCACACCATTCAAAATCTAAACACAAATAATTGACCTTAAATAATCAAGAATTATAACTGCAACCTGTGTGTATAGAAGTGGGTGATCGTTTCACATACAGTACTATTGTGTAGACAGGTTATCAAATCTAATATTAACTTGCACATAGATGCAATCGATCAGTACAAAATAAACCTTAATATGAGGTAATATTAAGGGAGGTTAAATAAAAGGTGTTGAGTCCATGTTCACTTGGATTGCGTGGGGTTCTGTTCTAGCCTTGGTTTGGCGAAGAAGTCCCTGTACATTGTATAAATGACACCTAGAAAAAAAAAAACACAGTTATGCATTGTTCTGACGTGTTAATATGGAAGCTGGCGCTGGAGTGGGGGACATTTTTCTCTTTCAGAGGCCATTTGACAGTATGTCTGTTTTTATTTTCTCTCTGTATACGTACCGACAGTCATGGCTCCTACCACAAAGCCTTGGGCGGCCACGCGCATGTGGATCAGGTGCACGGACATTTTGGTGTCCCCGCGACTTTTCAACTTCCACAGTCTGTAGCCTACAATGGCAAAGAAGCCAGCCATTCCTGCAACAACCCCAAGGACGATGTTTTACAAATTTTCAGTAATCTAGTCAACTGTACTGTATAACAGAAAATATCTACAGGATTGGAGTTGTGTTGTTTATTTAGTTGAGTGGACAGCCCACCTGGTGATTATCAGGGGAATGGCATAAGAGGAAATAGGGATCATTTTAAACCGGGACATTAAGTTGTAACAGTTTATTTTCCACAATCAAACAATAATAATATAACACATAATATAGAAATCACACATTGACAAGATATCACAGTCAATAAGGATGATTTTGATTTGTATTTAAGATATATAACTTATCTATTCAAGTCAACGGCACATGCGGCACTGAATCAGTTCATTAATGGTGGCTACTTATTGTGGAGTTACATATCATATAGCCACATGTTTTCAGGTATCTTGTATAAGGCATTTTTTTTTTATTTGTGGTGTGTGTGTGTGTGTGTGTGTGTGTGTGTGTGTGTGTGTGTCTGTGGGGGGGGGGCGCAAAAAAAACCCCAAGGTAATATAACTAATTGGATCTAATTTAGTGTAATGATAAATATTGTATTCAAACCTCCAACACTCGTTAAAAAGGTAGATCTAGGTTACAGTCACTTTTTTCTTGGCCACTACTTCGCTTTGCAGGTACCACGTCTGAGACACGAGCTGGTATCAGTTCATGGGTAGGTTTTTCCACCCACCAAAAGGAAGTGCGTATGTGATGTGGTGTTTTTTTTTTCTTCGAATCTTTCACTCTTTCATGTTGCTAAATAACATTATGTAAAATGAATGGATGGATTGATGGTTATTAGCAGAGGCAGCCATGTGCTTTGACGGAAGACACTTGAAGTTACATGGTCATGTATGGCACTTTGTTGCATAATCTAATAATGAAATAAATTAATTCTAAGCAGGGCCACATGAAAAACTATAATCTTATTGGTGGCTTAGTCAATCAAAACGGAGCTTTATTACCTTGTCTCATGTTATTACCTTGTCTAAAAGTCAGATCTGCAGTGTTTGTCAAGTGATGTAATCCCGGGAGCCAGGATATGCATACTCACCCACAGGAACAAATGGATTCTCTTTGGCTTTTCTCATAAATTTGGACTCGTTCTCCTCGTAGGCAGACATTGTAACTGGACATAAGAACATTTACAACGTATAAGACTTTTGTTTGCTTAGCCTTTTAGCTAAGCTCTACATGCTCACGAAGAGTACAGAGGTTACATATGAAGGACAATGGGGAGTCACGCTATAAATGGACAAAGTGTTAAGAAAATGTTTGAAAAGGTCCTAAGAGTTGTTAGAAGCATACAAGACACACGATTACCATTGTGATTATCGTACAGTTGAGTGTCGTACAATTAACAACAGATCTGTCATTATTCGTAGCGGTTACAGTTATCAATTTTTTTCAAATGAGTCTTACCTGTGTATAAATCTCAAAGTTAGTGAACTAAATATCAGGCTTTCGGAATCACCTAGGTTGCTCAACTCGTACGCACCAAGGAAAAGTACCCGGTCGACCGCTTTCGTAACGTTAAGTAGCAGCGCACGCAGGTGTGACGTCAGAGGTTGCGTGAAATGGTGCGCTCAAAGAAAGGAGTAAAAATGGGAAACACTATGGTTGTTGTTTTTTTCCTTGTTAAAAACTGAAGTAAACGTTATTTAGGTAATATATATAATATATTAAGAAGACATTAGATCGAATACTAATCAAAGAAAGACCGAATTTCAGACTGGGATTTGAAGAAAAGATTAAATCCTACAATTGAACGCAGCACCACTTGTACAATGTGCGCAACAATCAAAGATAGTCAATTCCAACCAAGAGCACTACACTTGGTAGCTGGATCGTAAGATCGCGTCCAGTCATTGTCGCATAAATTACAGAGCCAATACTGTAAAATATATTGAATGAAGTTCCCTAATTATTCACGACTTGTACCCAAGTAGATGACGTGTATTGTGTTTGTTTTTGCTCTCGCCTACTCAGATAAAAAAAAAAAAAATTCACATTGTCACTGTTCAAACGAAAACGGAAGCAAAGTTATTAATAGTTCTTGTTACTCTCTGTGCTGACGTATTTTTGCGCTCGTCATTGGTGTGGAAACCTCACGTTTCCGCAACGTGCCATAGCCATATAAGTGCATCACTCCTAAAACGACCACAAACCCAATTCCGATAAAGTTGGGATGTTGATCCATTTTCCACGAGGGTCGTAGGCGTGCTGGAGCCATTTGGCGGAGGACACCCCGAACTGGTTGCCAGACCAGCACAGGGCAAACATTGGAAAAACAAACGCACTCAAAATCACAATTGAGTGATCAATTAACCTACCATGCATGTTTTTGAAATGTGGGAGGAAACCTGAGTACCCAGAGAAAACCCACACATGCACGGGGAGAAAAGGAGAAACATGAAAACTCCAAACAGGAAGGCCGGAATCGGAATCGAACCCGGTCCATCTGCACTGTGACGCCGACGTTCTAACAAGTTACCCAGTTGTGTACTCATCTTTTGATTATTTCCACATACCTCTTATTTTGGTTTTGAAAATAGTTACACGTTCATTTCACGGAGACCCCGTATTTCCCACACATACTGTCACATATTCTACTCTACAAGAAATTGATAAAATGACGATCTACCCGATAGAACCAAAAGTATCTGTCTCGGCAGAACAGCTTGGAGAATGCCTGTATTGTGAAATGTTTCCATCAGGTGGCGCCACATGATAAGCATAGTTAGCTGTCTGCAAAGTGGACATCTGCAAAGATTCTCCATGGTAATCACGTTGTTGTAAGAATAAAATTGCCGTGGAAACCCCAAGAGAGAATAAGCGCATTCCTTCATTTGTTGCTGCTATAACAAGGCAGCATGCAGTGTCACTTTTTGGGTGAGGTATATGAACATCGCTGCAAGGCAAACACAAGTTTTATGAAGATTTTTAAAAAAGGACTCTTTATTAGGTACAAACAGTGTGTCACATTTAAGGGAAAATCTGTTTAAAAAATCTGCCTTTGTTGAGATAGTGATCAACAATAAGCAACACTGTCAGTATTCATGTTGGTAAATGGCAAACCAACATCTGGTTCCTTTGTTGGGAAAGTGATCAACAATGAGCAACATCATCAGTATTTATGTTGGTAAATGGCAAACCAACATCTGGTTCGACTTGAGTGAGGGTCAAGCTGGATTTTTCCATCAGCTTGTAAATGCTGCCTTTGACAGCAACAGTTACAACTGAAGAATGGATTATGAGTAATGGATTATAGAGTCCAACTGAGAGTAAACGTGGTTCATAGTGTACATTCTGCTTGTAACTATCCATAAATGGAAGCCTGCTGAGTTCCGGGAAAACTGAAACCTATGGGAGGAGCCAAAACAGCATTTATACACAGCGTGTGGACCTTCACTCCAAAGCATGCTTATTCCGTCAGCGGGAGATTTAGAAATATATTTTCGACAATATCAAATAAAATGCGGGAAGGTTTTAACTTGAGCTACATAGATTTCTGTCTGGGCTATAAAGCCCTGGTGCCATTATGTTATCTGTTTGTCAATGCATCAGTTGCATTTGTCTTTTACTGGTTATAAAGATCCAAGGGCTGCCAAAAGTGGACCAAGGTGTGAGCAAGGTAAGTTTTTTATGATTTGGCAAAATATAAAAATATCAATCCATACATCAATACATTAATGACTATGTATCGAAAAGACAAAACAAAACAAAAAAAAATTCCCCAATATAGTCCTGGCCTATTTACATCACATAAATATATTTTAACCAATTCAATGTCACTCCCACACCATTCAAAATCTAAACACAAATAATTGACCTTAAATAATCAAGAATTATAACTGCAACCTGTGTGTATAGAAGTGGGTGATCGTTTCACATACAGTACTATTGTGTAGACAGGTTATCAAATCTAATATTAACTTGCACATAGATGCAATCGATCAGTACAAAATAAACCTTAATATGAGGTAATATTAAGGGAGGTTAAATAAAAGGTGTTGAGTCCATGTTCACTTGGATTGCGTGGGGTTCTGTTCTAGCCTTGGTTTGGCGAAGAAGTCCCTGTACATTGTATAAATGACACCTAGAAAAAAAAAACACAGTTATGCATTGTTCTGACGTGTTAATATGGAAGCTGGCGCTGGAGTGGGGGACATTTTTCTCTTTCAGAGGCCATTTGAGAGTATGTCTGTTTTTATTTTCTCTCTATATACGTACCGACAGTCATGGCTCCTACCACAAAGCCTTGGGCGGCCACGCGCATGTGGATCAGGTGCACGGACATTTTGGTGTCCCCGCGACTTTTCAACTTCCACAGTCTGTAGCCTACAATGGCAAAGAAGCCAGCCATTCCTGCAACAACCCCAAGGACGATGTTTTACAAATTTTCAGTAATCTAGTCAACTGTACTGTATAACAGAAAATATCTACAGGATTGGAGTTGTGTTGTTTATTTAGTTGAGTGGACAGCCCACCTGGTGATTATCAGGGGAATGGCATAAGAGGAAATAGGGATCATTTTAAACCGGGACATTAAGTTGTAACAGTTTATTTTCCACAATCAAACAATAATAATATAACACGTAATATAGAAAGCACACATTGACAAGATATCACAGTCAATAAGGATGATTTTGATTTGTATTGAAGACATACAACTTATCTGTTCAAGTCAACGGCACATGCGGCACTGAATCAGTTCATTAATGGTGGCTACTTATTGTGGAGTTACATATCATATAGCCACATGTTTTTAGGTATCTTGTATAAGGCATTTTTTTAAATTTGTGGTGTGTGTGTGTGTGTGTGTGTGTGTGTCTGTGTGGGGGGGGGGCGCAAAAAAACTCCAAGGTAATATAACTAATTGGAGCTAATTTAGTGTACTGATAAATATTGTATTCAAACCTCCAACACTCGTTAAAAAGGTAGATGAATTTCCTGGCCACTACTTCGCTTTGCAGGTGCCACGTCTGAGACACGAGCTGGTATCAGTTCATGGGTAGAGGTTATTCCACCCACCAAAAGGAAGCGTGTATATGTGGTGTGGTTTTTTTTCTTCAAATCTTTCACTCTTTCATGTTGCTAAATAACATTATGTAAAATGAATGGATGGATTGATGGTTATTAGCAGAGGCAGCCATGTGCTTTGACGGAAGACACTTGAAGTTACATGGTCATGTATGGCACTTTGTTGCATAATCTAATAATGAAATAAATGGATTCTAAGCAGGGCTACATCAAAAACTATAATCTTATTGGTGGCATGGTCAATCAAAAGGGATCTTTATTACCATGTCTCATATTATTACCTTGTCTAACAGTCAGAGCTACAGTGTTTGTCAAATGATGTAATCCCGGGAGCTAGGATATACATACTCACCCACAGGAACAAATGGATTCTCTTTGGCTTTTCTCATAAATTTGGACTCGTTCTCCTCGTAGGCAGACATTGTAACTGGACATAAGAACATGTACAACCCATGACTTTTGTTTGCTTCGCCTTTTAGCTAAGCTCTACATGCTCACGAACAGTACAGAGGTTACAAATGAAGGACAATGAGGAGTCACGCTATAAATGGACGGAATGTTAAGAAAATGTTTGAAAAGGTCATAAGAGTTGTTAGAAGCATACAAGACACACGATTACCATTGTGATTATCGTACAGTTGAGTGTCGTACAATTAACAACAGATCTTTCATTATTCGTAGCGGTTACAGTTATCAATTTTTCAAATGAGTCTTACCTGTGTATAAACCTCAACGTTAGTGAACTAAATATCAAGCTTTCGGAATCACCTAGGTTGCTCAACTCGTACGCACCAAGGAAAAGTACCCGGCCGACCGCTTTCGTAATGTTAAGTAGCAGCGCACGCAGTGTGACGTCACAGGTTGCGTGACATGGTGAGCTCAAAGACAGGAGTAAAAATGGGAAATACTACGGTTGGCATTTTTTTCCTTGTTAAAAACTGAAATAAACGTTATTTAGGTAATATATATAATATATTAGGTATACATTAGATCGAATACTAATCAAAGAAAGACCGAATTTCAGACTGGGATTTGAAGAAAAGATTAAATCCTACAATTGAACGCAGCATCACTTGTACAGCGTGCGCAACAATCAAAGATAGTCAATTCCAAACAAGAGCACTTCACTCGGCAGCTGGATCGTAAGATCGCGTCCAGTCATTGTCGCATAAATTACAGAGCCAATACTGTAAAATATATTGAATCAAGTTCCCTAATTTTTCATGACTTGTACCCAGGTAGATAAGGTGCATTATGTCTGTTTTTGCTCTCGCCTACTCAGAAAAAAAACCTTTCACATTGTCACTGTTCAAACGAAAACGGAAGCAAGTGAAAATTAGTGAATAGTTCTTGTTACTCTCTGTGCTGACGTATTTTTTTGGGCTCGTCATTGCTGTGGAAACCTCACGTTTCCGCAACGTGCCACAGCCATATAAGTGCATCACTCCTAAAACTACCACAAACCCAATTCCGATAAAGTTGGGATGTCCATCCTTCAGCCCATTTTCTACGAGGGTCGTAGGCGTGCTGGAGCCTATCCCAGCCGCATTCGGGCATTTGGCGGAGTACACCCCGAACTGGTTTTGCCAGACCAGCGCAGGGCAAACATCGGAAAAATAAACGCACTCAAAATCACAGTAGAGTGATCAATTAACCTACCGTGCATGTTTTTGAAATGTGGGAGGAAATCTGAGTACCCAGAGAAAACCCTCACATGCACGGGGAGAAAAGTCTCGTCAAAATTTACTCTCCACAGTTTGGGAACTGTTAGGAGTAAATGGTAAAAAGATAAAAGAGGCGGAAAAAAACCGAATGTCATGTATACTCATCCATCCATCCATTTTCTAAATTTTAAAGCCTCCGAGAGAAAACCCACGCAGGCACGGGGAGAACATGCTAATTCCAAACAGGAAGGCCGGAATCGCAATTGAACCCGGCACCTCTGCACTGTGAGGCCGACGTGCTCACCAATTGCCCAGTTGTCTACCCATTTTGATAATGTCCACGTATGTGCCTATTATTTTGATTTGAAAAGAATTACATTTTGACTTAACGGAGACCCCGTATTTCCCACACATACTGTCACATTGTCTACTCTCCAAGAAATTGATAAAATGACTTGATTTACCAGATAGAACCAAAAGTATCTGTCTCGGCAGAACAGCTTGGAGAATGCCTGTATTGTGAAATGTTTCCATCAGGTGGCGCCACATAATAAGCATAGTTAGCAGTCTGCAAAGTGGGCATCTGCAAAGATTGTCCATGGTAATCACGTTGTTGTAAGAATATGGTAAATTGCCGTGGAAACCCAAGAGAGAATAAGCGCATTCCTTCATTTGTTGCTGCTATAACAAGGCAGCATGCAGTGTCACTTTTTGGGTGAGGTGCATGAACATCGCTGCAAGGCAAACACAAGTTTTATGAAGATTTTTAAAAAAGGACTCTTTATTAGGTACAAACAGTGTGTCACATTTAAGGGAAAATCTGTTTAAAAAATCTGCCTTTGTTGAGATAGTGATCAACAATAAGCAACACTGTCAGTATTCATGTTGGTAAATGGCAAACCAACATCTGGTTCGACTTGAGTGAGGGTCAAGCTGGATTTTTCCATCAGCTTGTAAATGCTGCCTTTGACAGCAACAGTTACAACTGAAGAATGGATTATGGAGTCCAACTGAGAGTAAACGTGGTTCATAGTGTACATTCTGCTTGTAACTATCCATAAATGGAAGCCTGCTGAGTTCCGGGAAAACTGAAACCTATGGGAGGAGCCAAAACAGCATTTATACACAGCGTGTGGACCTTCACTCCAAAGCATGCTTATTCCGTCAGCGGGATCAGTCATGGGAGAGCTTGTGCTGCAGATCATTGTTGCGCTTTTCACAGCACTGATGGGAGGATTGTATCTTCTAGGGGTGTTCAGACGGCGGAGGCCCGGAGAGCCTCCACTGGACAAGGGTCTTTTCCCTTGGCTTGGCCATGTCTTGGAGTTCCGCAGGAACACGGTGAAGTTCCTGCAGAGGATGCAGAGGAAGCATGGAGACGTGTTCACAATCCAGCTGGGCGGTTTCTACGTCACCTTCCTGCAGGACCCCTTGTCTTTCGGACCGTTTGTCAAGGAGAGCCGGGAGAAGCTGGACTTCAACAAGTTCGCCAAGCACCTGGTGCACAGGGTCTTCGGCTACTGGTCGGCCAATAGCGAGCATCACATCCTGCAGCAGTCCAGCAACAAGTACCTGAAGGGGGACGGCTTGGAGGTCCTCACACAGTCCATGACAGCCAATCTTCAGAACCTGATGCTGCACAACCTCGGCAAAGAAGAGCCAGCCTGGACAGAAGACGGGCTCTTCATGTACTGCTACAATATCGTGTTCAGGGCGGGCTACCTGTCTCTATATGGTAACGTGTCCCCAAAGTGCAAGGACGGTGAAGAGAAGGCCAAAGAGAAAGACAGGGTGGAATCAGAGTCCTTGTTCTACAAGTTCCGTAAGTACGACCAGCTCTTCCCGAACCTGGCGTATGGTGTCCTGCCTCCCAAGAGGAGGCTGGAACTGCGAGGGCTCATGGACTACTTCTGGGACGTCCTGGCGGTGCGCAAGGTGAAGACCAAAGACAACATCAGCGGTTGGGTGTGGGACATGCAGCAGGTGCGGGAGGAGATGGGCATGGATGAGGCCATGATCGACAGGTACATGTTTCTCCTCCTGTGGGCCTCGCAGGGCAACACGGGCCCATCTGCCTTCTGGCTGCTCCTCTACATCATGAAGCACCCGGAGGCTATGACGGCCATCAAGGGCGAGGTCGACCGGATCGTCCGTGAGTCGGGCCAGGAAGTGAGGCATGACGGCCCATTACTGAACCTGACACGCGAGATGTTGATGAAAACCACCATCATGGACAGCGCCGTGGAGGAGACCCTGAGACTCTGCGCCGCGCCCCTTCTCACCAGGGCCGTGCTCCAGGACATGACGCTGAAGATGGCTGACGGCAAGGAGTTCCTCATTCGCAAGGGGGATAGGATGGCGATTTTCCCTTACAGCGGCGTGCAAATGGACCCAGGAATCCACCCCGACCCGAGGGCCTTCAAATACGACCGCTTCCTCAACCCCGACGGGAGCAAGAAGACGGAGTTTTACAAAGACGGCAAGAAGGTGAAGTACTACACCATGCCCTGGGGCGCCGGGGTGTCCATCTGCCCTGGGCGCTTCTTTGCCACTAACGAGCTCAAGCAGTTCATCTTCCTCATGCTGGTCTACTTTGAGTTTGAGCTTCTGGATCCTGAAATGGAGATCCCCGGAATAGACGTCCGGCGATGGGGCTTTGGAACCATGCAGCCCGACAGAGATGTTCCCTTCCGATATAGACTCCGATATTAAACTCAGAGTTGAAGGAAGCAACATGAAGACTATTTAAAGGGCAATGCAATCCCATATACGGCCTATTATTCACATAATACTGTAGCTCTATAATCTTTTATCATGACATTTTTCAAGATATGAAATAAGTAGCGTATTGAGAAGTAAATACATTAGGCCTGATTTACGAAGATCCCAAACAGATGCCTGCTTGATAGACGTAGCATTTAACCCTTTCATGCACCAATAATGATAACCTGTAACCTGGTAACATGATAGGCTGTCCACTGTCGTAACCGCTATCCCTGAAAGTGTTAAAGAAGCAAAATCAGCCAGCACAATTGGTCTCAGATTTGAAAAAAAAAAAAAATCATAAAATTCATCTACTTGCATATAGTCCTCTCAGTTTTGTTTGTTTGGGTGCAAACAGTTTTGCCCGTTGGTCAAGCACAATCCTGGGTGCACCCAATGAGTTGATCACCATGCACATCCATGTGTGTGTGCCATCAGGTTTGCACCCATTTTTGCATGCATATACTTTGAGTAAATCAGGCCCTAAGACTTTCCAATGAAAGTAGCTGTGTGTTTAACTCTGACTTTGGAATGCTGTCTAAAGATGGGCCTTCCTTTTGGAAAATCCAAATGAAGACACCAACCTGTGTAGGCAACGTTTTATACTGAATCATTATTTTCACCCTTCACAAAATCCACCCGTCAAAGACGTCTGCATGTTTGTGAGCTGCTCTCATGTTTACTCTTTGAAATTCAGTGAGCTCATCACCAAATCTGATTGTACCGTTCAACTATTAAAGATCATTGTTTCGTTCATAAATGTAATCAAATAATTACACTTCGACATCGTGCTCAGGAAATAATCATTTATGTACTATTTTTTTTTCTTGGGGTTAAAGAGCTTCTAGTCAAACAAATAAAGATTGCGTTGAGTGTTGGTCATTTTTGCCATGGGCCACATTGTCGTCAATTTTCCTTGGAGGGTCATTCTGATTGTGATTCCATATAAATGTTTAATCATCTCCTCATATCACAAATTCAGTAAACAATTAATGGATAACTAGTTTTGAAATCAAAAGTGAAGGATAGTAGTTTTTTTCAACTGCTGTTCAAGTTACTGTAATAACGCAACCAGAAAAAGCTTGCATTATCTCAACATTATTATTTATTTCATGTGACAATTGGAAATTTTGGTACATATTTTAGCATGCATCATGGAAGTCGACCTGCTTGATTTGCTTTCGCGGGCCACATGAAATGACGCAGTGGGCCAGATCTGGCCCCCGGGCCTCAGTTTTGACACCAGTGATCTAAAACGTTTATTAGGCACTCTGTGAACGGTGAAACGAATATATATCTATGTACAGCGTCACCAATGTTTCATCGCTATATACCTAAGGAAAAAAATGCTTCAGATTATGTAACAACTGCGATGTCTGGCTATGATGATGGCCGATGTGAATAACATTCTTCTTGTAATCACATTATTCCTCTTTGTAAAGAGTCCAGCAGCTTGAATTGGCTGTATTTTAAGTACACAAATACACGGATGGAAGTGAAGGTCACATTGGATGAAAAGTCCACAAAGAAGTGGAGCCCTCTCGGCATCCACAGAGCTGCGAAGGCGTGCTTTGTGATGAAAAGCATGTGTGTACAACCATGCTCAACCTCCTTGACGGATTTGTTTCGGAATAATGTTTAAAATGACCATGGAATCATGTATTTATTTAAAAAAAAGTCTGAGTAAACCCAGTTGTAATCATATATTGATTTAATGTTTAGGATTGAAACTAGTGTGTTATGCAGCGTTATCTTTTTTCACTTGTTTGTTTTTGGGGTACATTCTTTGATCGACAGGATGTGTGAATCAAGTGTATGCTTTCCTCATAAAAATGAATGTATGAAAAAAAATGCTATGTGCTTGTGTTTTATTGTAGCGGTTGATGATTCTGTGACCATTTCAATAAATATGATCCGATACCAACTGATAGTTCATGTTTCTGTATGCTCTACTTTGTTTTCCCCAAATAAAAATCCACAATGCACTTTGCTGAGTCATTTCACAGTTATATAAGCAATACCCAGTGGAATTTTGCCATATACCATATCCAAACGGGTTGAAAAAAGAAGTTCGCCGTGTCCAATTTGATGAAACTTTTGCAGTTATGGCCCTCAAGAGAAAAGTTCATATGCAATGCACATTAAAGACTGTGACTCCATCTGCAGGAGATGAAGACCAGATGTTCTTTGCGTACGTGCTGAACACATTGGGGACATTCTGGTACTGTTTTGAATCACCGCCTACTGTAATTGTGTCCAAGTTTCCATCTTGGAAGAAAAGAAAATTGTAGATGGAGGCCCTCAGTCCGAATCGGCATACTTGATGCGTAGGTACTTTATTTCTAACAGTGGGGCATTTTTAAAGTTTCAACACAACACTGGTCAAGTCTTCCATTGAGACCAATTCTCTTGGGAATTATTTGTTCCTGAGTCCAAAGTGTCTCCATCCTAAAATATTGTATAGACCGTGTTTTAAGTAACATTTTAAGATTCAGAACTGCCACACAGATACAAAATGAAACCAAGCACTAATGTAAAAAAAACATTTCAAAGATAACACATTGTAGACCACTCTGCCTTGTCAAAAGGCACAGCGAGACGGACTCATATGCACAACACCGGTCAAAGAAGAGCCAATCAAAGTCTTTTGTTGTTCAAAACGCACAACACCAGAGAGTGTTGAACAAGATGGACCTTATTTCATGTCACGATAAAAGTAATTTTTTTCATTCCTATGTTTGTTCTTAAAATTTCATGAAATGGCCATTTTTGTCTTCTCTTCTCTCCTTTTTGCAACAAAGTGCAAATTGTAACATAAAGCACTTCAAGTACCACTCATGTTTGCCTAACATTTACACAAACCAAGAGGGAAATAATAACATAACGTGCAACAAAGTGCAAATTGTAACATAAAGCACTTCACGTACCACTCGTTTGTCTAACATTTACACAAACCAACAGACCATAATAACATAACAATATATCACACAACCAGTCTCATAAATGAAAATATTTGTTCGCAAAAAGCAAAACACCAACTCTAGTTTGTTGTTCACAAACACTATAGCGCCAGTCGCAGAATAAACAACAAAGCGCTTAAAACACCAACTCTAGTTTGTTGTTCACAAACACTACAGCGCTAGTCGCAGAATAAACAACAAAGCTGTCTTAACGAAAAACACAAACACCAATCACTTCACAGTGACATCCATGTCAATCTACTGTATTTTGTTCATAAAAAGCGCAGCAGCAATTTTGTTCACAAAAATCATGGCACAAGCAGTTTTCTTTCTTTGCAGAGCTGTTTTCCCTTAGCAATGACTTCATGTGAGGAGCAACTCTCTAATTTTGAGGAGCATTTTTTTTTTGCACGTTCATCGTGGAGAACTGAAGCAAGAGTTTTATTCAACAATAAAAATACAAACTTATAACTAAGGAGCAATTGCTTTTCCTCCCTGCTGATGCACGCCACAACAAAACATTCATTTCCAGTTTTGGTCCCGTTTAGCAGTGTTGAGTCGCAAATAAGACATGTATTATATAGCCTGCTATTCTGCATTTAGAGCCAGATTTTGGTTAAAAGCGTGCTCGATCAACCGATCACTTAATTCCGGTGTTCCACGCTAATGTCACTATTAGGTTCGTTTAGCAATTTCCATGGATTTTTGCGCTTTTCTCGTTGTCCCTTCGTGACGATACTTGTTAGAAGCTTATTCGCCGCCGTGGAGGTTAGAATTACTGACAAACTTCATAACTTCTTGAGCCGCATTAGTAAGTAGCTGAAGCTCATTGCTAGCTAGCTATTACAGCTTAATTAGCACCAAGCATGCCTCAACCTTCGACCACCCGCACGTTGGAGAAGTTGGCGAAGCTTTTTTGGACCGTCTCGGCGGTTCAATTCATCCATCCATGCATCCATTTTCTGAACCGCTTTATTCTCACAAGGGTCGCGGGGCATGCTGGAGCTTATCCCAGCCGTCTTCAGGCAGTAGGCACAGGACACCCTGAAACAGTTGCCAGCCAATCACAGGGTACAACCATCCACGCTCACATTCACACCTCGGGACAATTTTGAGTGTTCAATCAGCCTGCCATGCATGTTTTCGGAATGTGGGAGGAAACCGGAGTACCCGGAGAAAACTCACGCAGGCCCGGGGAGAATATGCAAACTCCACACAGGAAGGCCGGAGCTGGAATCGAACCCACAACCTCTGCACTGTGAGGTCGATGTGCTAACTACTGGACCACTGCGCTGCCCTGGCGGTTCAATTAACAGGAAAAAATAATAATAAAAAATCTGTGGTTCTCAGTTTTGTTACTCAATGTGTTTTTATGAGACGTGAAATGCAAAATGTGACTCACAAACTAAGATTTGAAACCGCTTCTTCCGAACCCTGGCACAAGACACCTAAAATTCAACACAAAACAAATAATTCACAAGTACAACACCAGTAACATTTCAAAACCAAAGTCATTTGTCCATGTTTTGAGTGTTATTACTGTAGCTCCAATCACAAACACATTCAGTACACACAAACACACAGGCACACTATTTCTTTCATCCATCTTGTGATGAAGCACTTGGCGTCCAGTCATGTCTCATTGCTCTGTAGTAACCTTCTCCATTCAGCATTCAGCTGACGTAAACACACAGCACCGTCTCCAGTTAGTCATTAAAGCACTATGGCCTCAATCCAGGTCACTGACAATCACGCTGTGTACAAGTGAGGCCTCTGTCAAAAAAACACACGGCGTTACCGGCAGCTTTGGTTATTTTTGAAATCCTGATTGGAAAAGTTGTTGAGTCATTGAAGGCAGCGCACTATCCTGCTTTTTATTGACATATTCATCAACTTCAAACTGGCAATCGACATCATTGGAAATCCAATTCGAGAGGCAGCGAAAGCTCATGAAGACGTTTGTTGCCAGATTTGAATTTGTGTCACTATGTCATCTACTGTAATCTGCATACGCAGGTGGACTTTCATATACTGTACATACATCCCAAGAAGCTGGTTAGTCTTTGATTTGTTCTGACGACAGGAAATAGCAGACAAGGAAACAATCTGTCTGCTACAGGCCATGTTTCAATCAACAATCTTAACTCCGAAAATAAAACTTCAGATAAGAAGACAAGAAAACCTTTAATAGTCTCACAATGGAGAAATTCCCACTATTAATGTACCGTATTTTCCGCTAAAGGGAATACAATACAATACACCCTTATTCATATAGCGCTTTCACAACCATTGCAGCTGTAACAAGGCGCTTTACAGAACATTTTAAATGTTACGTCCAAGAAATCTGAATATTGATGCAGATATAAGGCGCATCGCATTATAAGGCGCACTGTTGGCTTTTGAGAAAATTGCTTTTCGGTGGGCCTTGTAGTGCGGAAAATACGGTAATACAAAACACGAGAACATAAGGTCTCCCTCACTTTACTCATCAACGCTTACTTACAGTACTAGGCATATGCTAACCTATTGTAGCTGTCTCCATCTTGACTCAGTGGTCCCGCCTGTCAAACTGGACAGATGCACAGCACCTCTATTCACAAAAAGCACACAGGCAGTCACATGACATCGAGCTCAGTCATTCGTTCACAAACAGCACAACACCACGCCAACACTAAACAGCCTTTTGGCTGTTTAGTGTTGGCGTGGTGTTGTGCAAACAATTCCTTTGCTCACCCAATCGCAACACCAGTCAAATGATGTCCAACTTAGTCACTTTGTTCACAAAAAGGACAACACCCGCCGCAAAACATACAGACCAAACACCAGTCACAGGATATCCAAAGGAAAGTTCTTCACTTCACTCAATAAAGCACAAATTATTTTGTTGACCAAAAGCTCAACACTCAGTATATGCTGCACGGTTTACACAAAATCATGGTCAGTAACATGCAGTGTACAACTTTTTGTAATTGAAGTTTGACGGCAATATTCACAGCTGGACTTTAATGCCCCAGAATCAATAAGAGAGGTGACACATAACGTCAAAGAAAAAGCGTGGCTGTTGTTTTGAAACAATGTTTGACAAAAAAAGGACTCAGGCTACATTTGTGTCAACAGAAAACATCCTCTGCGCCCAGCTGGGGAAAAAAAATGCCTTTGACAATAACCTTTGGAAAATGGCCAAAGAAGCATTTACGACAAACAGAAATAACAGTGGTCACGTATGCCACTGCACAACATTAGCTACTGAATATGATCTAAAAGACTCTGCTTTGCAATGATGATAATGCCCATTTTAAGTTGACATTTCTAGAGCGATATTGATGAAATAAGACAGAGACAACCCCGCCACTCAAGAGGTATAATTGTGCATTTCATTGGTTTAGGTACCCACCAGGATGGTAAAAGTTTGGGATGTTTTATGATCTGGGTCAGACATTAACAGTGGCCCGATGGCCCGGGGCCACCACATGGCTGTTGTTGGGCTACCCGAAGCTCACTGATGCTGGCCACCAGTTCCAATTTCATGTCGCTGTTGTTGGGCCCAAACCACAATTTGGTAAATTTCTTTTTTTTTTGCCCCCACAAATTTATATTATTGGTTAGTCCACTTGTGTCATTATTTTGTTGTTGTTGTTGTTGTTGTTGTTGATGTTGTTGTTGTTGTTGACCAATTGAAAATGTTTAAAATTGCTTTCAATCTTTGATGATGCAATGTTAATCATTGAACAAATGTCCTGTTTTTGGAGACCATTGAAAATTGATGCTTTTGAAGGTACAACCTGCCAGATTCTAGCGATATATACATATATAT